TGTTGGGATTCTGAGATTCAAGATCGATGGTCGTTTTGCAAACACAAGAGCCACATTAGTAAAAGAAAAATATCTTTACTACAAAACAAAATAAAGCATGGGTAAGGTACTTTGGATAAAAGAAATAAAATGAAAAGCTTACATACTTGCAGTTACTTTCAGTACTAAATGCTAAGAGCTACATCTGTCTAACTATCTTTCGACTTCTAGAGGGGAGCTTCCTGTCTGTTTCACACAAAGAGCCATAAAGCTTGTGAATACATGAATGCTAGATCAAAGCATTTCCACAAACACGTTGTTAGCTGACCAATACAAAGGTTACAGATCACTTCATTAGAGTAAACAACTCCCACAAACTTTTCCACTGTAGAATACAGTATGTAACGTAACATCCTGTTTCCTAACAAACAACACTTAACTCTGTAATGACTGAAGTGCAAGCAACTTGAAACTCCAACAGGACATAGAAGGGATAAGCTCTTTCCTCTCCTTCCACATTAATTCAGTCCTTCCATATAACTGAGGGTTCTGATGGAAGGTGGGAGAGGAGGTTGCCAACTGGCCTGGAGGGGAAATGTGCAGTCGCTTAAACAGGAGTTTAATGGGTGTTATTTACCATCCAGCCCAGGCACGCCATCAAACCATCACGCAAATTGGGCCCCCATGTGGGAGTATAGTACATTCACAGTGGGGGCCTGTGTGTGTAAGTAACACACAAGCACATGCCTTTTCCTACACAAAGGTATAATTTCAGGGCTCCTTTTGTTGCAGGAACTCCTTTGCATATTAAGGGACACACTCCTAGTGTAGCCAATCCTCCAGGAGCTTACAGAGATCTTCTTACAGGGGCTGCTGTAAGCTCTTGGAGGATTGGCTACATTAGGGGTGGGTCGCCTAATATGCAAAGGAGTTCCTGCTACAATAAGAGCCCTGCGTCTCTTCTCATGCCAATTTGCCGCATCTCCAAGTGATTGTCGTCTGCCATGGCCAAACAGTTCCATGCAGTACATCGCCAACCCCAGCTTTTAAAAAAGGATGCACCAGGTGCCAATCAGCGGATCAGCAGGGGGTACTTACCTCGAGAAAGAGAAAGGCCCAGGCCTCCTCGCCAGCATTGCACAGGAAGTGATGTCATCGCAGGGCTCTTTTTGTAGTAGGAACTCCTTTGCATAATTAGGCGACACACCCCTAATGTAGCCAATCCTCCAAGAGCTTACAGAGCTCTTCTTACAGGGGCTACTGTAAGCTCTTGGAGGATTGGCTACATTAGGGTGTGTGTTGCCTAATATGCAAAGGAGTTCCTGCTACAAAAAGAGCCCTGCGTTTTTCTCACTAGTTGGGTCCAGCTATTCGTATAAGAACTGGATCAATGTTGTTTTCCTGCCTATGTTTATTCTTGGACATACACACATTTCCCATTTCTTTTTGTTTTCATTTGCGGGAGGGTGGGAATGGGGAACATGTAACTCTTATGTCTAACCTACAAGGCAGCTTTGATTTGTTTCGTGGATTTTAAGGAGCCCTCGAGCACACACCACTTGTCTGAAAAGTCACAACATCTGGGACGCAAGGAATCGTCTTTTGTTTGATTAACACTTGTCTTCTCCATTTTGCCGGCCTCCTTCACCTTCGTGTTCCAGCATGTCTATAAAAGAATCTATTAAAACAATGTTAATGGAGTTTGTTTCTTCCACAGCGGACAAAACCAAAGAGGGAGTTGTGCAGAGCGTCACTTCAGGTAAGAGCACAGTTCACTCCAAGGTTGATGAGTTCCAACGTACAGCTAGGTTTTCCTTGCTCAAAAGATTCTTCCTAAATCTACAAAATTTGAGCCCAGTTGCACCTGAAAGACCAACAACATTTTCCAGGGTATAAGCTTTCAGGAGTCAAAGTTCACTTCATCCAAGTTTGTGCTACTACTACAGACTAACATGGCTACCCATCTGAAGCTGTCTCCTAAATTTGGCTTCACTAGTGTTAAGTCGCCCACTTAACAGAATAGTCGCATTGAAGCTGTTCCACTTTTAAACTCTCCCGGCTAATGTAGCCACGCCCTATTGTACAATATCAATCTATGAGGTTGTAGAGTTAAGGTCCAATCACATTAGTTCCCGCTGAAGGAGCTTGCTGGTACTTGATTGGCTGGTTCTTCCTGGGTTACCAATATGATTGGAGGGATTTGGATCCTAGCCCAGGATGAAGCTTCACATGGTGTTTCAATAGGGTGATTCACATACAGTTTGCCTTGCATTGAATACACCACAACTAGCTTCCCGACACAAGCTCTAGGTAGGATTCTCATTTTTTAAAATCTCTATAGCAGAGGTGTGAAACATGCAACCCGGGGGCCGGATGAGGCCCCCGGAAAGCTTCTATCAGGCCTGCAGTAGAATTGGCTGTTTTCTGCTGCTGCTTCCAGTTCTGCTGCTGCTTCATCATAGGTTTGCAGCTTACAGTTACACACCTGAACAGCATACTCAAGATTGCAACAGCACAGACATTTTGATGCAGTAATTCAGAGCAAGAGATGTCAGTTATCAGACACTGTTAAATAAACAAAATATTGCAAGAGTGCCGATGTTTTAAGCATGTTTTTATTTTAAGTTTAAAAAAAACCCTTTGTGTTTGTGACCTTTCTAAAGTTGATATCTCCGCTACCTGGCGTTACATTTCATGACACACATGGCCCGGCCCAACAAGGTCTCATTTATGTCAGATCCGGCCCTCATAACAAATGAGTTCGACACCCCTGCTCTATAGTCTTTTGGAACTGGTGAGATAACATTACATGTTGGTCCATAGCACAGAATCGTACGTGTGCTAAGCTATACTATAATCTAGTTTAAGTGTCATTTTTGTGATTGTTTCCCCCAAACAATTTAAGAGGGGAGACCAGCACAGAGGGAAAGTAACATAGAAGCACTGAGCTAGAAGGAACCTCAAGGACCATCTTGTCCAACCTCCCGCACAATGCAAGAAATTCAGAAGCACCTCCCACCCACCCCCATTTTATTACTTCCCTTTATTATGGCTTCTTCCAGTTGGAAGGGTTTTTTTCTCCTTGGCATTCAAACTGGAGTGGGATTTTTTTTTGAGACACTCCACCCATGCTTCTTCTATCATGTCCTGTGGCTTCCAGAGGTTTGTTCTAATGTTTCTCCAACTCCAGGAGAGATGGGAGTCAAAGCAGGTCTGCCCACACGTGCACAGAAAAGTACAGATTTCCAGAACTCCCCACCCACATCCAGGTATATCACTAGAACAGTAAATCAGCAAGAATCCCTCTGGTGGTCCAGATGGTGGGAAATGGTGAATGTGAGGAGATAACAGATAAAAACAGTGAATCACCAAAGAGGAATCATCCCTGTGTGGAAGCACCCTAAGAAATGCTTAAAAATGAGGCTGTTGTAATAGCTGTAGCTTAAACCTTGTCGATTGTTTATGGTGGTAGTCTTCTAAGAAAGGCAGGAAGAAAGAGAGAAGGTTTCGCCTTGACTTGTAACTCTTTTTATTTCTGTTAAAACCCTTAGTTGCGGAAAAGACCAAAGAGCAGGCCAATCTGGTGGGCGAATCTGTGGTATCCAGCGTCAACACGGTGGCAAAACAGACTGTAGAAGGAGCAGAGACTGTTGTAGCCAGCACTGGGGTTGTTAAAAGGGTGAGTGCACTCTTCCAGCATTGCCACATGCTTAAAGGACCAAATTACACATTACCTCAGCAAACACATCTTCCCAGCCTGTGTGTTAGTGTCATCCAGCAAACATGCTTTTGGCTGCGGTCACACGGAGCATTAGGCACGCTAGAGGGACGGAAGATAGGCGGATTTTCTGGGTGCGATCTCACCGCCAAATCTGGGAAGCATAGAGCTCCCGTGGTGAACCCGAGGCTTCCCGCTGGAGATGGGCGGTTAAAAACTAGTACCTCGGAGGTACTAGTTTCCGGCAAGGGCGGGCATCTGATTGCGTTTCCGGTGGTAGTTCCGGCGCCTGCCCATGCCCCCTCATATAAAGGTTTTTTCTTTTCAACTGTCCATGGGATGCGCACAAACACCTAACGGGGCATGCGCACACTTTGGTGTCCGAAAAAAACACCCATTTGCCATGCTGCTTCTTTGCCGCGGCGCAGGATTGTGGTGTGCTCGGCACCTCCCCCCTTCCACGGGACCTCCATGGGACCTCCATGGGACCTCCACGGTATGTCTGCTGGCGCAACCACGTGTTATTTTGCCCCGGGGCAAACAGCCACACTTCCCCCCCGCATTTTCCTGCCCGTGTGACCCAGGCCTTTGTGTGTTTGGGAACATTTGCTGGGGAGAATCTGTGAGTGGAAGGGGGGTACTGTTATATTGAGTTTTTCTGCATTTCTCATTTTTCTTTGCTCTGCCTATGGTTTTCACCCTCTAGTGGTCAATTCAATATCAGACCACTTTATGTCTGGCATAAAAACCTGCAGTTTAGATCTCCAGGGAGATATGCTGGACATAAACCGCTGTAATATTAAATTGACCACTAGGGGATCAAAACACATGCGGAGCAGAACCTTCCCCCAAAAAGAAACAGGAACTTACAAGCAAGGGAAATGGGGATGCGGAGAAGGCCATTAAGTAATTTTTATCTGAGAACAACTGTGGAGAGAGTACATAATACATATATCAAATACATAATACTTGACTCCTTCTTGCAAATTTCCCCCCTTTTCTCCTTGCCCTCAGCAAGGTTTATTTCCAGTCTATAAGCCAAGGGTGTGTGGGAGGAATGGGAGAGAAATAAGGTTACATGGTCCTACACATCCTTTCTTACCTACAAATGCCTCTCACTCCTCATCCATGTTATCAAGCAAACACTGGTTTGCCTCATAACACGTCGCTTATAACTTGAGTTATAACGCATGTTCTTCTGTCCTGAGTCTCCAAGAAAACATGGTTTCTTTCTTGGCTGCAATCTTCTTTAGAAGAAATTCTTGTGGTGGTGGGGGAGGGACATAGTGTTCTGCTGTCTGGTCTTTCAGTAATGTAAAGCACTTCTCAAAACCAATTTCTAGTATTTTGTTGATTATAAGTAGCATATACCTAACCGAGCTGTTGCCTTGGAAGAAGCCTGATTTATATTTCATTGCCTGAATCCTATAGCTCAGTGAACTTCTGACGGTCAGGGAATGCCTTTCGCGTCAAGTTTTGTGGTGAAGAACACCTGGCATTGGATTCCAGTATGCTCCTCAGGTGTCTAAGGCATACTATTTGTCCATGTTGGATGCTGACTGAGCTTGGCTCAGTGGCCCTGGATAGCTCCCTACACAAATTGACAGTAGACGCTAGAATGTGCTCCGTGGATCCCATTGCAGAGGAAGATTAGGAAGTTCATGTGGTGCATTGGCAAGAAGAGTGTCCAGCTAGGAGACCTGGCTTCAAATCTTTACTCCGCCGTGAAGTTCACTGAATGACCCTGGGCCAATCACCTGCTCTCAGCCGAATGTAAGTCCCAGGGTTGCCGTGAGGATAAAATGGAGGGTGGTAAACAGTGTGGTACCGCAGGGATCAGTATGTGGTCCAAAGCTTTTTAACTTGTTCATTAATGATTTGGAGTTGGGAGTAAGCAGTGAAGTGGCTAAATTTGCGGATGATACGAAGTTGTTCAGGGTGGTGAAAACCAGTGAGGATTGTGAGGCACTCCAAAGGGATCTGTCAAGGATGGGCAAGTGGGTGTCGACATGGCAAATGGGGTTCAATGTGGCCAAGTGCAAGGTGATGCACATTGGAGCCAAAAATCCTAAATATAAATACACATTGATGGGGTCTGAACTGGCAGAGACTGATCAAGAGAGAGATCTTGGAGTCGTAGTAGATAACTCACTGAAAATGTCGAGATAGTGTGTGACTGCAATAAAAAAGGCCAATGCTATGCTGGGGATTATTAGGAGGGTATTGAAAACAGATCAGTCAATATCATAATGCCCCTATATAAATCAATCGTGCGACCTCATTTGGAATACTGTGTGCAGTTCTGATCACCACACCTTATTATAGCTTTGGAAAAAGTGCAGAAAAGGGCAACTCGAATGATAAAAGGGTTGGAACACTTTCCCTATGAGGAAAGGTTAAAGCGCTTAGGGCTCTTTAGCTTGGAGAAACGATGACTGAGGGGTGACATGATTGAGGTTTATAAGATGATACATGGGATAGAGCAGGTAGAGAAAGAGGTACTTTTCTCCCTTTCTCCCAATACAAGAACTCGTGGGCACTCAATGAAATTGCTGAGCAGTCAGGTTAGAACGGATAAAAGGAAGTACTTCTTCACCCAAAGAGTGATTAACACATGGAATTCACTGCCACAGGAAGTGGTGGCAGCTACAAGCATGGACGGCTTCAAAAGGGAATTAGATAAGCATATGGAGCAGAGGTCCATCAGTGGCTATTAGCCACAAGGTATAGCTAGGGGCTCTGGGGCAAGTGATGCTCTGTCTTCTTGGTGCTTGGGGGGGGTCAACAGTGGGAGGGCTTCTAATGTCCTGGCCCCACTGGTGATGGCACCTGGTATTTTTGGCCACTATGTGACAGAGTGTTGGACTGGATGGGCCTTTGGCCTGATCCAACATTGGCTTCTCTTATGTTCTTATGTTTCCCAGCCGTGGAAACGGCAGCTGGAACATCTACAGGGTCAAGCATAAGATAGCACACAGTAGCTGAGCAGGATAGACCTGAGAACGAGAGAGAGGGTACCCCTCCACGTTCCAGAACTATGACAGGGCTACCTGACAGGGGCCTATTTGAACCTCCCTCTGACTCCCTTTCTGCGGGTGAAAATGGTGCCGGAGGGAAGCCTGCAGCCCCTCCCCCCCCTTGCAGGTTTCGGAGCAGTGCAGAACAACACAACGCTTTCAATGTAAGTTACACAGATACACAGTGTGGCAATGAGTTGGGCTGGGCAACCGTGTCCTCCTGACTAGTGTCGCGTGTATTCGGGCACTGAATGTGTCCTATAGTTTAATTGCTTATTGAAACACAACCAACCTACCGACTGAATTCTGCTGATTATGTGCATCGGTTGCATGTTAACATGCCTCTAATGTTCGGGGATGTTTTTAGCTTTGCAAACACAACAAATACTAGTGTACCTTTGTAAAGACCCTACTTGTGTGAACCACATGCCTATAAGAAAAGTCAATACGAATCGCAACTCATTTTAAACGGTTTTTTTTTTTTTTTAGTTGACAGATCCATAAGATTTTTGCCATTTCTGGGCTTACTTGTTTTTTCAGGGTTCATCTTGATAAAAGCCAGATATTCTTACTTATATATTGATTATATATTGAGCCAATTTGGTGTAGTGGTTAAGTGCGTGGACTCTAATCTGGGAGAACCGGGTTTGAGTCCCCACTCCTCCACTCGCACCTGCTGGATAACCTTGGGCAAGCCATAGTTCTGGCACAGCTGTTCTTGAAAAAAGAGCCGTTTCTGTCAGAGCTCTCTCTCAGCCCCACCTACCTCACAGGGTAGGGGAAGGAGAGTTTGTAAGCCACTCTGAGACTCCTTTGGGTAGTGAAGGGCGGGGTATAAATCCAATCTCTTCTTCTTCTTCTTCTTAAACCAAGTTTATTTCCACATTTAAATGGAAGACATACTAGATGAGGAAAGGGAAACCCAACAGATGAAAGAAAGATTGTGAGGCTTCTTCAACCTGATAAAAATGCAATCTGAGTGCCAGTGTGGTGTGATGGTTAAGGTGTCAGGCTAGGAGCTTGGAGGCCCAGCTTTAAATCCCTACTCTGCTATGGAAATTTGCTGGGTGACCTTTGTCCAGTCACCCATTCACAGCCTAACCTACTTCAAGCAGTTGTTGTGAGGATAAAATGAAGGAAAGGAGAATGTTGTAATCTGGTTTGGCTCCCCGCTGGGGAGAAAACTGGGGTATGAATGAACAAAATGAAGAAAATAAATACAATTGCAGGCTCACGCCGCGCAATGTTCCCTCTAAGCTGTGGAGTCTTGTGAGCAAAACTTCTACTTTGTGAGCTTCTGGCTTTAAAGTTGTGAGCAAGCGAGTTGGCTACTGCATACATTAGTTTGCTCTGGAGCCATCCTTCCTGAGCTGAGACATAAATGTGTGAGCCAGAGGCTAAAAAACTGTGAGCTAACTCACACTCACTCAGCTTAGAGGGAACACTGCTCACGCGGCCTCAATTTGCCCCACGGCCTGGGCAGGGAAGAGAGAGAGAGAGTGTGTTTAACCCTTCAACCTCCACTTGGTTTCATGATTCAAAACAGAGCTCCCTGCTGTTTCACTAGCATTTAAAGGAGAAGGGGGGGTGTTCTAAAGAACACGGGCCTTTCTCCTTTAAAGTGCTAACAGCAGAGCAGGAAGGAGCCATTCAGAAAGTAAAACCAAAGGGTAGTTGGGTTTGGCAACTGCCTGGAGAGAAAAAAATGTTCTGTCCTTTTAATAGAGGCTTAATGGATGTTACATCCCAGGTGATGCTATTTACCTCCATGCCATGAAGAGCTCCCGCAGACTATGTTTACACATTTATTATCAAATTTATCACGTTTAGTATAATTTATTATCAAATGATCAAACGTTAATCCTTTATTAAAAGGACAGGACATTTTTCTCTAGGCTTGTGGGGCAAACGTAGTGGTATTTGAAGAGTGAAACTCCTGCTTTC